AAATGTAAAGAAAGAAAACCAAGAGAAAATTGCATTAACTACAGGAATGGAAATTGTTAAAAAAATTAAATATTTGGGAATTTGGATATCAGCAAAGAATGGTCAATTACTGAAAAATAATTACGAAATAACCTGGAATAAAATAAAGAMTGATCTTAAAARTTGGAAATCAATGAAGCTATCCTTATTAGGAAGGATTGCATTAATTAAAATGATGGTATTACCAAAGCTACTATTTTTATTTCAAAATGTTCCCGTAATCAGAAGTCAAATAACTTTTAAAAATTGGAATAAAGAACTTCTGAAGTTCGTATGGGATGGAAAAAGACCTAGAATTAAATATGTGAATCTAATTGACAAAAAAACAAGAGGAGGACTAGGTTTCCCGGACCTAAAAGCATATCATGATTCAAGTGCTCTCTTATGGATAAGAGATTGGATGTCATTAGAAAATGGAAAATGTCTGAAYTTRGAAGGTCATGATTTACGTGTGGGCTGGCATGCYTACACGTGGTATGAAAGAGAGAAAAAGGAAAAGAATTTTGGRAATCACTTCGTTAGAGCATCTTTGTTGAGAGTGTGGTTAAAATATAAAAAKTTATTTTATAATAAAACGCCACTTTGGGTTTCACCAATGGAGGCACATCAAAGAAGATTATTAGGCTGGAGAGCGTGGCCAACGTATAAGGATATTTTAAAAGAGAATACAGGGGAGATTAAGCCTTACGAACAATTAAAGGAGGAAAATAAGAATATGTCATGGTTGCATTATCTACAAATGAAAGATTATATTAAACAAGATAATAAAGTAGGCTTTGCCTGGGAAGGCTCGATATGGGATAAAATTTTAAAGGCAAGGAGAAAAGTAATTTCGGTTATTTATAATACTCTTCTGACGTGGTCAACGGAGACTGAGCAAGTTAAGCCATGTATGATAAAGTGGGCACAAAATATAAGAAGATCTATTCAAATTAAAGAGTGGGAACAGATGTGGAACAAGAAATTAAAATATGTATATGCAACTGATTTAAAGGAAAACTGGATAAAAATGTTCCACAGATGGTATACCACTCCTAAGAAACTATCTTTGATAAACAAAAATTCTTCGGAYAAATGTTGGAAAGGYTGTCAACAGATAGGTACCTTTTATCACATGTGGTGGACTTGTAAAGARATAGGGAAATATTGGTCTATGATYCATGAAGAAATACAAAAAATTTTAAAAAGAATTTTTAAGAAGAAACCGGAGTATTACTTATTGGGATTTACTGACTCTGAATTACAACTACARGARAATGAGGATAAACTCTTTACGTACATGACAACGGCAGCGAGAATTGAATTAGCAAAAGTTTGGAAACAAGCCAATATCCCTACTAAGGAGGATTGGTTAGGGAAAATTAGAGAAATAAGAGAGATGGACGAGCTGACTTTTTATTTGAAAAAGAATACCGGAAACCCGATAAAGAGGACAGATTGGACACTTTTTGACAAGTATGAGGAAGCTGA